ACAGTAACAGGAGATGGAAACTGACTTCTCCCACTTGGGGAGGAGCATGGAAGGGCATTCCCCTGTGCTTCCCAGCTCATAGGGACAGCCGAGACTGGTTCCATGGCCTCTGGTTTCCAGCCTTCATTTACTGTGCAGTCTTCCTTTCTAGCTTAGAGATTCGGGAATGTTGCACACTTGTTCCCATCTCCTCTGCTGTGGGCTCCCCGTCCGGAGCCCACCACTTCTGGATGGGCATGTCGCTCCTCTTGCCACCTCTCGATGTCACCAAAACTGTGTGACTGTGACAATTGGCAAATTTCTGGCTCTAGAACCAACCTCCAACTCCTATACTCCCAGCAATCCTCAAGTTCTACTCAACTCTCCTGGAACACAGACGCTCCTGGGAACATACACAGGATGGAGGTGGGACTGAGGCCGGGGACAGAGAGGCAAATGATGGCACCAGGCACTGCTGCTTTCAAAGACGTTGCCTTCCCTACATTCCCTCTTGGGCACCACGGTACACGCCTCGCCGCATGGGAGCCTCGGCGCGTGAGCGTCTTCCCCAGCAGTGGGCAGCAAGGAGGTCAGGTGACCCTGCAGACTGTCTGGGAGTCTGGAATTGGATCATCTTGCCTACCTCTCTCCCAGGAGGCCCACGGCCTACCCATTCGCTAGACACTGCCACCTTTGCAATGGGTGTGCACCTGTGAGCCTACTCCAGGGCCACCCTTATCCACCCTCTTCCTCCAACATGAGGTACAAAGACGAGGCCCACAGCCCACCGCCCTCCACTTCTCAAATAAAGAATGAAAGCTCGGATTTTGGCAAAACAATTTTATTGTTTAAAAAATAAATGCTACATTTGAAATATAAAAAGGCATTAAAAACCCTTTTTAAAAGGTTTGAAAGGCATTTGTTCTGAATGTATCTCATCATCTCAGGTATCTTTAAAGTTCCAGTGTTTTATAAAAGTCAGGGGCAGTTACTCTCTCTGAAAAAAGCATGGCACATCCTTGCTACTCAGCAATTGGCTTTCATACCACCTACCCCCCACAAGGGAGTGGCTCCGTCTCCTCATCCGACCCGTCAGAAGCCCAGCCCTGAGGTCACGGTCACAGGGCAGAGTGCACAGCACAGAGTCCACATCTGAGCTCTCCTCGCCCAGTCCCACGGCAGCAGCCTCTTAGCTGCGGCAATTCTCACCTCGGCCATCCCGGCTGGAATCCCAACTCCTTGCCCACGCACAAGAAGCAATGAGGTCTGGGGACCGAGCAGAGGCTGACTCAGGTCTTCCAGGTGGACCGCACAAGTCACATCCCAGAGAAATGGAGGCGAATGGGGTTCTTGATTACAGCTAATCCAGGGCCCTTTCCTCTTGGACTCACACACACACACACACGCACACACGATGCCTTATAACTGACCCTTCCATGGGGGTAAAGGTAAAGGAATGGGCCTTCTAGACTTCCGTGGGGGCAAAGGTAAAGGAAAGGGCCTTTTAGATTTCTGTGGGGGTAAAGGTAAGGGCCCGAGTGGACACATTCATGTAGTGTCTTTCTTTACACTGCCACTTTCAAAGCTAAATATGGACCACCCCAAGGTACCCCAGACAGCAAATGAAATGTGTTAGGCCCTCCCACACCAAGGACAGAAATGCAGTGACCTTTTTAAAACACTCCAGGGCAAGGCTGTCCAAGGTCTCCCGTGGGAATGAGACTAAGCAGAAGTACAATTAAACCACATTCCACATCTCTCCCTTCCTGTCTGTGGGCCACATGGACATGCGCATGCCCAGAAACCTGCTTTGCAAATGCACCCCCAAAGGCTGGCTGGAGGAGAAGCGTCATCTAGGGATCATTTTCCCTGTGGCCTGCTAGGATCTCGGCAGCACGTCCCAAGACCCCCGACACTTCTGTCTGGCTGATAAGAGAGCATTCTCCTTGCTGAGTGATAAGCTAAGGGTCCTCAGGGTTTCTCACTCACCCTCCACCTCAAGCTGCCGACTTCAGTGGCCTGAAGAACAAGCGTGTGGCTGCTCCTGTGTGACACCTGCCGCCAATGTCACTAGTCTCCCAAGAATGGGCAGAGTTGTGAGCCTTCTCCCAGGGAAGACACGCCAGGGAGAGAAGACTGCTATAAGTGGGGAGGGAGGGTTCTGCTCCAGAGAAGGTCCAGGACTAGGCAGTGCCATGTCACAGGGAGGTGACACAGTACGTGTGCAGCAAGAGGGAAGCAAAGAGCATGCCCATGCCCCGCAAAGATGGAGACTGAGCGCGCTGACGGACGCTTGCCTGACACTGCCAGCTAGTGGGCACCGGAGAGGGTAGGAGAGCTATTACAGGAATAAGCCTGCACGTCCAATGAGGCAACTCCAGTTACTGTGACGAAAATGCTGCGGCTCTGACAGCAGGACAGCACCCACCGAGAGGTTCTCACTGCATCATCGGGTTGGGTGCCCTCTCATGTTCTGATTAGCTGCCAATGGCTGATAAGGCTGGAGGAGCTACCTTCCTGCCCATGGGCCTGTCACTTGAACAAAGCGATTAGCACCTTTTCAAGTGTCACTTTCTTCAAGTGTACAGACTATGGCCTCACTTGTCACTCAGCAGAAGAGTGGCAGGGAGGGCTGCAGGGAGAGGGGCTATGTGAGGTAAGTGGACTGCCAGGGGCAAATGGCCTCTAAGGGTTCCATGGCCATGGTGTTTGGAGGTGGCAGCCCTTCTAGGGTCTCATGGGCAGGGCGGACAGGCGTCACTATGGTCACCTAGCATTCATTTCACCGCTGTCCTTTCCCGTGACTCGTTGGAACTCTGACCCTGAGATACCACTAGGTGCAGTGAGGTCTGCAGAAGCTCACTGCTGTGGAGGCTGCTTACATAAGGCTGCGTGTATTTTGTAGGGGAAAGAACAACCTTGCTCCTGAAAACTAATTTAAGGGAATAATCCCTGAAGGTCTCATGGAAGCTTCCTCTTCCCTCCTCTGAGCTCTCTCCCCACTCTACCTGGGCTCTATGACAACAGGGAGAGGATGGAAGCAGAGCAAGAGGGGATGCCCACACCTGAGAGAGCACACCCTGTGCCTGTGGGATGACCCCCGAGGGGACATTTGGGAATGTTGGTTGAAATGATAGGGAACTGATTAAGTTGCTAATGATTAAGGGAGGGCTCAGAAGTGGGGATAAAGCATTGTCTGCAGAGGAACAAGAAACAGGGAGCATTGACAAAGACACTCCTTAAGTTGCTGTTGGCAGAAAAATTAGGCCCCAGATTCAAAATCCAAATCTTGCTTGCAACAACCTGGAAAGTCCCTCAATTCCACCCCCACCACAAATGGTAAAAATGCTTCCTCTAGACAGGCTCACCCACTAGGTCTCCCAGAGGAGGGGCCCTTCTCCACTGCACAGGTCCACATGTCCACATGTGGGCTTCACAGTGCACCACTGGCCCCAGCCAGGGAGCCTGGACTCTGGGAGCTGCTGCTGCACTGAGGACCCAAGGGCTCCCTGTGAGGGGGACATACATCCAGGTGTCTAACAATCTGCTTCAAAACTGGGCTCCCACTGGTCTATGGTCAGTAGACAGCAGTTTTTAAACCTGAACTTCAGTTTCAAAATCATCAGTAAATAAAGATCCAGCCACCTAGGTCCCAAGTCAAATAGTATTAAGCAGGATCACACTGTGCAACGCACCCAGCATTATAAGGCGCTAAGGGTCTCTCCAGCAAGCTCCAGGCTTCTGCTCTCAGCTACCCCATCCCCTGCCTGTGCCCCTCTTGGTGAGCCACGTATCCCATCACAGAGGCCGAGGAAGCAGCTGGCTCCTGCCTGCACCAACCCTCAGGGCAGCCTTTGAAGCCGGGTCTGAGACAAAGCTGGCACCCCCGGCAGCCCTGGATGAGTCTGAGCCGCCAGGATGAAAGGCCTGGGGTTGGGCCCCGATGCAGCTGCAAACCTCCCGTGTGAGCTGGCACACATATCCCTTCTGAGCCTCGCTCTGCTGTTGTCTTCACAGGTGGGAAGTTGGACTAGAGCAGTATCTCTCAAACTCTGTCAACTTAGTGGATTACAGAAGCATTTTTTTAAAATGAAAAATAGAAAATAGAGGGTGAGGATTCCTTTAAGAAACTTGCTAGAGACACAGATGTACATACAGCTGTGATTAATGATGCAAAGCATTTCTTGTTGCAGATTGTGGTCCACGAAGTCTGAAGACCACCAGCTCAGGTGGTTCTGGTCCTGAGAACCTCTCCTTCCTAACATGGCAAAGAAGAGAAGTGGGAGGGCATGGGTGGGAACAGAGGGACAGTGACCATCTCCCAGTTTGGACTTTTCTAATGTGATTTTATGAAAGCACTTGATTCTGGAAAGGAAACCTTTGGCACTGTTGCCCCGACCCCTACTCCTACACACACACTCCACAGACTGAGGGTACATTCGGAGGCAAGTCATCCCTCTGAGTAAGAACAGGACATTCTGGGCTCAGGCCTGCCATGACTCACTATTATTTAGAAACGATGACATCAAGAGCCTGCTCACCCTTCATCCCAGAGTGGAGGCCCCTTTCTCCCTGGTGTTAAAAAACGCAGAGCAGTTAAGTACCTAAACAACCTAGCAGAGAGTGCTGGGCCCCAAGAAGCTAGAGTGACAGACTTCGGAAAAGCAAAAGAACCATCACCGGAGCCAGGGGAGTCCTCGGGCATGTGGTGAGGCATCAGTGGTGATGCACGGGCGCCCCCACGTGGTCAGAGATGGAACTTCGACAGCAATCACCTCTGTCCACCCATGAGCCCGGCCCACAGGATGGAATGGGATGCAAAAAAACGGAAGACGCTCTGATGGAAGGGTCACTTCCCACCCTTGGGCTCTGTGGTTCTGTTCTGCCATGGGTAGCTCTCTTGGAATAGAGAGAGATGTTCTGCCTGTGCTAGGTCACTGGAGATCAAGGAGCAGAATTTTAACCAGAGTGCCTTTTGGACAGGAGCCCTGGCTCAGGTAATCATTTCACATGCACACACCTCAAACAAAAGCAAGAATTCTTTTAAATCTGCAGCCTTGAAAAAAACGTAAACAATCAAAGGTAGACAAATAAATTTCATAATGTTCCTCCTGACCAAGTGCTCTCCTGGAAAATTGCATATCATATTGAAACTTTGTATTTGATACAGAATGTGGCTGAAAATGGGGAGATGTCACAGAAAAATCTCCGTAATCTTCCAGGCATGTCTAGGGGGTGCAACTTTGGGAGTTGAAATGACACACATGTTCTGGGAATTTCTTTTTTCTTTCTTTCTTTCTTTCTTTTTTCCTTTCTTTTTTTTTTTTTTTTTAAAGAATTTCAGAGTCCCTTTCCCACACCGAAGGGTTTCCAAAAACAAAGGTGTTACTGTCTCACAGTTTCTTAAGGCCAGAGGACCCAACCATGCTTACAGAGAGGTACCTATTTATTTACCAACGTCTTAGGCAGAGTATCCCTGGGAAAGTGAGCAGTGAGAGTGGCAGGAGACACCAGCGAACAGGAAGTCCACAGGCTAGAGGCTGAAGAGAGGCAGTGGGAAGGACGGCCGCCACCCCGCAGGGCACTGTGAACAGGCCACGCTGGCCCTGAGAGGCTGTGGGCAGCCGCTGCTCCCTGTGCATGGGTCACCCTATCAGAGAAGCCTCTCCTGTCTGGTGGGGTCAGACGCCTGGGTGGCCTCGTGCCACCTGACATCACCTTTCTCCCCACAAATGAGTTGTCACCATCAGTGATTTAATTGGATCCTTCCTAGTAAATGAGAGAAGCTAATGAGAGTGGGAGTCCCCCAAGATCTAAATGATTCTCTCAGATTGAGGGTCACTGGAATGGCCTGATCATCTATACCCCGAGTGTTTCATGCAGGGAGACTGGTGAGAGAGGAGTGCGGGTGGAGGGCAGGGATCCTCTCTGAGGACGCTGGGGGTACGAGACCCCACCTCTCCACGCAGGGCAGCTCATAGGCTCAGACAGGGAGCTCCAACAACAGCCTTAAGATTTATGGAACCTTTTTCACATCCTAGTTTTTGTTACTGCATTCCTCTAACCACTTCTCCTCTCTCTACAGATGGGGTGTCTGAGGGACAACAGAGAAACAGGGAAGGGACAGAGAAGGCTTCCACGGTCAGGACTGAGGAGAGAGACCCAGAGAGGAAACAGATGGAAGCAGCCTCTAAGAGAAGATGGTAGGTTGAATGTGCAGAGGCTCTGGAAGGACAGCTGGAGGGAGCAGGGGCTCACTCTGCTCAAGGTTTCAGGATGGTTTCCAGCACCCCTGTGCTGCGAAGACACTGTATCCCCATGGGTGCCTCCGTGCCCTTCTCCCTTTCCATCCGTGCTCTTCTTTCACTGGAACTAGAGCAAGGATCACCTTCCCAGGGAAACTTTGATTAACCTCAATCTACCACGTTCCCTCTTCTGAACTTGGGAACTGTCACACCATCGTATGATGTGCTGGCTGATATTAACATGTAGGTCTTGTTCTATGGTTTCTCTTGACCTACATTTGAAGTTTCTCAAGAATAGACATTCCGTTTCTTCCTTGTTCCTGCATCTGCCCACCGCACCTAAACAGGGCTGGCAGTGAAAGAAATTGGAACAAGCCTTGACCTTCCCCCTCTGGGGCCTGACCCTGGGCATGAGATTCCAAAGAGCCAGGGCATCCTGGGATCCTTGGCAGGGGTGGGGCTGAAGGATAGGGAAGAGGACGGGGGAGGAAACACAGGGCAAATACACCTCATCCCAGGAAGGCCTCATAGTCCATGTACCAAACCAGCTGGCCAGAACTAGGCAGGACGCCCGAGATGGGCCACTTCTTGGGCTGGTGGCCCACGCGGCTCACCAGCATGGTTATCTCGCGCTTCATCTTCCCCATGACCAGGACCGCCACCTTCCTGGCACGGTTGATGAGGGGCAGGCTGAGGCTCATGCGCTGGTATGGCCTGGAGGGGCTCTTCGTCAGCACCACCAGCTGTTCACCATCCAAGCCAGTGGGTGACTGCGGGAAGAGGGAGGCTGTGTGCCCGTCGATGCCCATACCGAGCAGCACCAGGTCGAAGCTGCTGTTGGTGACCAGGGCTGAGATTTCCCCGGCGTACAGCTGGGTGCCCTGGTCCTCCTCGGCGCACAGCCGCTGGTGAAGGTGCACGGGCATGGGGTGGATATTGTAGTAGGGGACCCTAATGTGCTGTAGCAGGTGAGCCTGCAGGCCCTGGAAGTTTGAATCTGGATCTGAGAGTGGGACGCAGCGCTCATCGACCAGCCACAGGTGCGTGTGGGCCCAGGGGAAGCCATAGTGTCCCCGGGCCAGCTGCTGGAACAGAGCGATAGGGCTTGAGCCACCCGAGAGTGCCAGGTGGAACCTACCAAAGCGCCGTACTGCCTGCATTGCTGTGGCCTCAATGTCACTAGCCAGCTTAGAGACCAGCTCCTCAGGCCAGGCAGAGATCAGTGGGCTCTCGCGGTATGTGGCCCTGAGGACCTGGAAGTTCCTGGGCATCGGGGTGGCCCCTGGTCCAGGCACCAGCTGCTCCACCTGCTGCTGGGAAAAAGACAACTGGTCGCCGCTGAATACAAAGTCCAATAGATGGCCATTCTCAGCTCCTCCTGGGTAAAGGCGTGGGATCTCGTGGGCCAGGCTATCCAGCAAGGGGGTCCAGAAGACCCAGGATGCCAGCAAATTCTCTGTGGTGATGAAAGAATCCTTTTGGCAGTGGAAGATACGTGACAAGAGGATGGAGTAGGCATCCTGCTCCCTCACAGGGCTGTAGGCATGGTAATCGGACAGGGGGTGGCCAAAAAGGCGGAGTCCTGGTCTCGCCTCCATTTCCTTCCAGCTCTTGGTGGGGAGGAAGGGCCTGAACAGATTCCGGCTGACCAGCACGGCAGGGCTGCCCAGGTCACCATGTCCGATGTAGAAGACAATCTGCTGGGGCAGGCACTGGCTCTGCGCTGTGTCCCAGTGCTTGTCATTCTGGGCACAGTAAGCCTGGTTCTTGAACAAGATCCGAACGTAGCCCACTCTCTCGTCCAGGGCTTTGCCCGACACCAGGATGAAAGGAACGCCCTCCCAGCGAAGGTTGTCGATGTAGACAAGAATGCCTGGGGTGAGGGGAACAGCAGAGGTGACATGCCAGCAGAGGGCTGGGATGTCCCAGTCCACCTTCCATCGGCCAGTCCTCTCCTCTCTGAGCCCCTCCGCTGGGCATTCTGCCACCCCTGAAAAGCCCTCGCTGTGCTCACTCCTCACCTTTCATCCTGTTCCACGATGTCATCTTCCCAGGCAGCGCCTGAAAACCAGCTTCTAGGGCCACCCTGGGGGTTCAGACATCCCCTTCCCTGAAGGTATCTTCTATAGTCATGGCCCCCCTCACAGGAAAACTGAAAGCCTCCAACCCAGAGACTAAGAGAACTTCCTGGCGGGGCAGGCAGGGTGGGGACTCGACTTGGGAAGGTGCTTCTCTCCTGTTTGTGGAGCTCCCAGGATGCGCCCGAAGCATGGCAGATGCAGGGGTGGGAAAGGCAGGGTAGGCCATGGGCAGGGTTTGCAGGGCAAGGAGGACTGCAGGAGCCGGGGGTCCTGGTGGTAAGAGCCAGACACTGACCGCACGTCACACACGGGTCCACGCCTGGTTTAGTGTCATATTTCTCCAGTTATAGATGGGGCTAATGACTGGCACGTAAGGGTCAATGAGATCACGTACATAGAGAGGCTGGCATATCGCACGTGCTCAGTAAGCAGCTGGTGGTGGTGATCACCTGCGAAGGAGCCACCCTCTCCCAGAAAGCCTCTGGAACTTTCCAGAGGATGGCTCTGTGGGCATCTGTTGGCCAGTGAGGTGCTTTCCCACTGGAAGAGCCTCTGGCTATGGCTGAACAGGTTTACAGCCTCACTTGGGAGGCTAGACAGAAGCCCCGTGAGGGCTGGAACCAGGGAAAAGCCTCACACAGCAAATCTTTAGGAAGCACCTGAAGTCCTGAACTGAGCTGAGGTGGTTGTAAGAAGACCACGACTGGGATGCCCAGAGAGTGTCACCAGGGTAGCTGTTGCCTTAAGCTGACAGAAGGACAGAGAGACGGGGAAGGTCACCCTTGCCACCGAGCTCTCTTGTGAAAATCCCACCTCAAGTCCCTTCCACTCTAAACAAAGGGCATCTGGGTTTGAAAAGCTGCTTCCAGCTGGGGGGTGGGGAGAGGGTGGCTAGCAGCCCACGCCCAGCTCCAAGCCCACCTGCGAAGGTCGGCGTCAGGCTGTGGAAGCTGTCCGGCTTCTGCAGCTCTCTGCGCACTTGCTCGCTGTAAGCCTGGTACTGGCCCAGGACGGCGCTGCCCTTCTGCAGGCCCCGCAGTGCCTGGAAAACCTGGAGCTTGTGCTGCAGCACAGCCTCTGAGTTGCTGATGTTGGGGGGCAGCTCCATGGCCACCAGGCTGAGCACCTCGGTCAAGTGGTTCTGCAGGATATCACGGATGACACCATACTTCTCATAGAAGCCCGTGCGGCCTGAGCAGGAGGAGAGGGAGGCCAGAGCATCAGATTTCCCCGAAACACACCGAGGGTCCTGCCCACACACTTGCCCTGGCATCCACAGTCCCCAGTCCTAAGAACCCATAAATATGATGAAGCCAGAGCAAATGAGGAAAGGGAGGGAGGATGCCTGGGAACCCAGCCAGCCCCTGCTCATCCTCCAAGTCTCGGCTTCTAGACTTGGCTTTTCCCTCCTGAGGGGCCCTGTCTTCTCCTAGCGCACCTAACCAACTCAGTGCCTGCTTCTTTCCTAACTGTCACACTTGAGCTCTGGCAGAGCGGGCACACCTCTGTCTGCACACTGCTGCATGCGCAGTGCCCCACCGCACACAGGACACAGTCACAGAAACGAAAACGTACACTGTCCTGGGTCAGCCTCAAACACACACTATCGTGAGAAAGAGACATGATTATTTGATTAAATAAAAATGTATTCGAAAATAGGGTATAAAATGACCTGATGAAAACAGAACTTCAATAAACAAAAAATGTAACTGGAAATTAGAAATTCAACAAACAAATTTGATGAGTTAGAAACAACTGGAAAGTCTGCTAACAGAAGACAGCCCTGCAGAGTATTCCACATGCAGGTAGACGACCAGATCCACACACACATGCACATGATATGTTTCTCTTCCAAACTGAACAAACAGGTTGTTTAGGGAATCAGAAAGACAGGAAGGGATTTCAGAAAGCTCATGAAAAAAGCGGAATTAAAATCTGACTTTATTTTGGTGTAAGAAAGTTTTAAATTCATGCATATTTTTCTTATAATTTTTTAATTTATTAATTTTAATTTTTCTACATTTAATCACTATTATCATTTAGATTATAAAGAGACTTTACCCAGCGTGACACACACCTCAGCCCAGCCCAGTTGAGAATATACTCACGTCCTTGTCAACAAATAATAAACCATATCCACGTCCCACAAATGCCTTACCTCTCTATTTTTTCCCCAAATTTCCTTTCCTACACTCTTCCTCTCCCCCACTCTGTCTACTTCTCAGCTCCTCCTGGGTAAAGGCGTGGGATCTCGTGGGCCAGGCTATCCAGCAAGGGGGTCCAGAAGACCCAGGATGCCAGCAAATTCTCTGTGGTGATGAAAGAATCCTTTTGGCAGTGGAAGATACGTGACAAGAGGATGGAGTAGGCATCCTGCTCCCTCACAGGGCTGTAGGCATGGTAATCGGACAGGGGGTGGCCAAAAAGGCGGAGTCCTGGTCTCGCCTCCATTTCCTTCCAGCTCTTGGTGGGGAGGAAGGGCCTGAACAGATTCCGGCTGACCAGCACGGCAGGGCTGCCCAGGTCACCATGTCCGATGTAGAAGACAATCTGCTGGGGCAGGCACTGGCTCTGCGCTGTGTCCCAGTGCTTGTCATTCTGGGCACAGTAAGCCTGGTTCTTGAACAAGATCCGAACGTAGCCCACTCTCTCGTCCAGGGCTTTGCCCGACACCAGGATGAAAGGAACGCCCTCCCAGCGAAGGTTGTCGATGTAGACAAGAATGCCTGGGGTGAGGGGAACAGCAGAGGTGACATGCCAGCAGAGGGCTGGGATGTCCCAGTCCACCTTCCATCGGCCAGTCCTCTCCTCTCTGAGCCCCTCCGCTGGGCATTCTGCCACCCCTGAAAAGCCCTCGCTGTGCTCACTCCTCACCTTTCATCCTGTTCCACGATGTCATCTTCCCAGGCAGCGCCTGAAAACCAGCTTCTAGGGCCACCCTGGGGGTTCAGACATCCCCTTCCCTGAAGGTATCTTCTATAGTCATGGCCCCCCTCACAGGAAAACTGAAAGCCTCCAACCCAGAGACTAAGAGAACTTCCTGGCGGGGCAGGCAGGGTGGGGACTCGACTTGGGAAGGTGCTTCTCTCCTGTTTGTGGAGCTCCCAGGATGCGCCCGAAGCATGGCAGATGCAGGGGTGGGAAAGGCAGGGTAGGCCATGGGCAGGGTTTGCAGGGCAAGGAGGACTGCAGGAGCCGGGGGTCCTGGTGGTAAGAGCCAGACACTGACCGCACGTCACACACGGGTCCACGCCTGGTTTAGTGTCATATTTCTCCAGTTATAGATGGGGCTAATGACTGGCACGTAAGGGTCAATGAGATCACGTACATAGAGAGGCTGGCATATCGCACGTGCTCAGTAAGCAGCTGGTGGTGGTGATCACCTGCGAAGGAGCCACCCTCTCCCAGAAAGCCTCTGGAACTTTCCAGAGGATGGCTCTGTGGGCATCTGTTGGCCAGTGAGGTGCTTTCCCACTGGAAGAGCCTCTGGCTATGGCTGAACAGGTTTACAGCCTCACTTGGGAGGCTAGACAGAAGCCCCGTGAGGGCTGGAACCAGGGAAAAGCCTCACACAGCAAATCTTTAGGAAGCACCTGAAGTCCTGAACTGAGCTGAGGTGGTTGTAAGAAGACCACGACTGGGATGCCCAGAGAGTGTCACCAGGGTAGCTGTTGCCTTAAGCTGACAGAAGGACAGAGAGACGGGGAAGGTCACCCTTGCCACCGAGCTCTCTTGTGAAAATCCCACCTCAAGTCCCTTCCACTCTAAACAAAGGGCATCTGGGTTTGAAAAGCTGCTTCCAGCTGGGGGGTGGGGAGAGGGTGGCTAGCAGCCCACGCCCAGCTCCAAGCCCACCTGCGAAGGTCGGCGTCAGGCTGTGGAAGCTGTCCGGCTTCTGCAGCTCTCTGCGCACTTGCTCGCTGTAAGCCTGGTACTGGCCCAGGACGGCGCTGCCCTTCTGCAGGCCCCGCAGTGCCTGGAAAACCTGGAGCTTGTGCTGCAGCACAGCCTCTGAGTTGCTGATGTTGGGGGGCAGCTCCATGGCCACCAGGCTGAGCACCTCGGTCAAGTGGTTCTGCAGGATATCACGGATGACACCATACTTCTCATAGAAGCCCGTGCGGCCTGAGCAGGAGGAGAGGGAGGCCAGAGCATCAGATTTCCCCGAAACACACCGAGGGTCCTGCCCACACACTTGCCCTGGCATCCACAGTCCCCAGTCCTAAGAACCCATAAATATGATGAAGCCAGAGCAAATGAGGAAAGGGAGGGAGGATGCCTGGGAACCCAGCCAGCCCCTGCTCATCCTCCAAGTCTCGGCTTCTAGACTTGGCTTTTCCCTCCTGAGGGGCCCTGTCTTCTCCTAGCGCACCTAACCAACTCAGTGCCTGCTTCTTTCCTAACTGTCACACTTGAGCTCTGGCAGAGCGGGCACACCTCTGTCTGCACACTGCTGCATGCGCAGTGCCCCACCGCACACAGGACACAGTCACAGAAACGAAAACGTACACTGTCCTGGGTCAGCCTCAAACACACACTATCGTGAGAAAGAGACATGATTATTTGATTAAATAAAAATGTATTCGAAAATAGGGTATAAAATGACCTGATGAAAACAGAACTTCAATAAACAAAAAATGTAACTGGAAATTAGAAATTCAACAAACAAATTTGATGAGTTAGAAACAACTGGAAAGTCTGCTAACAGAAGACAGCCCTGCAGAGTATTCCACATGCAGGTAGACGACCAGATCCACACACACATGCACATGATATGTTTCTCTTCCAAACTGAACAAACAGGTTGTTTAGGGAATCAGAAAGACAGGAAGGGATTTCAGAAAGCTCATGAAAAAAGCGGAATTAAAATCTGACTTTATTTTGGTGTAAGAAAGTTTTAAATTCATGCATATTTTTCTTATAATTTTTTAATTTATTAATTTTAATTTTTCTACATTTAATCACTATTATCATTTAGATTATAAAGAGACTTTACCCAGCGTGACACACACCTCAGCCCAGCCCAGTTGAGAATATACTCACGTCCTTGTCAACAAATAATAAACCATATCCACGTCCCACAAATGCCTTACCTCTCTATTTTTTCCCCAAATTTCCTTTCCTACACTCTTCCTCTCCCCTGCTCTCTCCACTTAGGCTCTAGTGTCCATAACAATTTTTAATGCTTGTATGTCCTCCAGCCGTTCAGTCTCTGCCATACAGTGCTGCCAGTCAGTATATGTTAAGGGGAACATGCATATTTTTCCATAATACGCATTTTCCATGAAATTTTCAAAGACCCCTTCATATGAAAACAATGAAGAGAAGCAAGGGAATAATATACCTAAAATTTAGAATAGTAAAGAAGAGGAAATAGGATAGAATTGGGGGCAAGGTGATGATAAAGTTAAAAAACAACAACAACTAGGCAGTAGGTACTTGTTATCATAGGTCTACATCCCTTATATGAAGTTAGAAGGCATTCTTTTTGACCTATCGTAGCATCCAGTTAAATTCAATTCAAACAGACGGAAAGAGTTCAGGTCTGCAGTGTTCACACATCCTTTCCAGCAGCCATCCTAGGTCCTCGAAGGGCTCCAGTGCTGACCACCTGCCCTGACTGGACTTGTAGCGTGCTCACGCGGGCCAGCTGGACAACTAGAGGATCAGGCTGTAGCCGGTGGGACAACCGGCCCTGAATAAGGAACAGAGCCAGCAGCCTGCTCCTAGGAAGGCTCCCTTGTCCCCAGTGGCAGAAGTTGGACTGTTCTGTTCTTAACCAGAACTTGAAGGTGCAGCTCTGGTGAGATGCGAAGCCCTAAAATGCACAGGATAACCCCGCCCAACTATGCCAATCAAAATGCCAAAAGTGGCCCATACCAAGGACACAAGGCTGAGTTCCCTTAGCCCCACAGGGTTCTGGTTGTTAAACTTTTTGCAGTGTTGTCAAGACACTGAGAAGGACATAGAAATGATAACAACGATGCATGTACAGCAGCCCACTTAACTTTCACAATAATGGTATCTGGGAGGTCCTACTACTGCCCTCTTAAAATGGAAGGAAACTGAGATTCAGAGTGGTTAGGTCACCTGCCCAAGGCCACACAGCTGGTAAAGAGGTAAAAATGAGTCAACCCAGAGAGCTGGCTCCAGAGCCTGCAGTTCTTACTAGTAAAACACCTTCCTTTTAACTTCCTACTACGCACCTATGCAACAGAATATTAAACTTGATGTGAAGCTGAGAGGTATGACCTCCCCTAGCCTAGAGAATGATTGGAATACAATGATGATCAAAACTGAAGACTGAACTGGGCTCTGGAAAGAGAAGTCTAGGTCAAAGGTCAGGGGCACCAATGCCTACCACCGTCAGTAAAAGTGTGAGGAAGCTGGAGGAGAGCTTGTGTCCTGGGGGACAGTTAAACCCTTAGCAGTGGTCAGGTGATGCCTCACAGGAGTGTGGGCCTAGGATGACCAAATCTTCCAGTTTTTCAGGAGAATAAAATATTTGAGTTGCTAAGTGTAATTTCAGAGTTTATTTTGTTGCTGCTGCTATTTATTCATTTATTTCTTCCACAAATGAGAGAGAAAGAGAGGCAGAACCCTGAACAGGGTCTTTGTTGTTGCAATCCACTCCCAGCCTCAGCCAGCCCCAGATCTTGGCACACATGTGAGTGTCTGACGCATTCAGGGAGGTCTCTGGATGCAAAGCTGGAATCTTTCCATGGGACTCAGCCTCACAGTGTGTTGCATTTAATGCTGCACCAGCCCCTTGATGATTTTTAAATGTGTAATAAAGTATAAATAATTCAGATTTTTCAAAAATGCTCTGTTGGGCCCAGAGGTTAAGTGCTAAATCTCACATGTCTGACGATGGTTTGAATCCTGGGCCAAGTGGCTTGAAAGGCATGCCAGACATGTGTATGTAAGTGATTAAGACCCTGACAGGAAAGAGAAATGTAGGAGAAGGGACTGTGGCATAACCATGCCATACTGGGGAGTGCCTTCTCTCTATGGAGAGCGTACATGCCCTCTAGCAATTAAAAAATAAACTAATTTTTAGAAATAAATAAATAGGTGGTGCCAGTAGGTGGTATGGTGGTTAAGGCACTGTACTCCCACATGGCTAACCATAGTTTGAGTCCTGGACCCAGCAGCTTGAAACTCATGCAGGGCATGTGTGCATAAGTGCTCAAAATCCCAAGAGGAGAATGGAGGAGAAGATTATGGCATGGCCATCGCCCCTGTGGGGAGATTTCTTGCTTTCCATTGCTTTTTCTGTTTCTCTCCAGTGAACACATGTGCACAATGGCAAAAACCTAAAATTAACTAATTTCTTTTAAATTTTGTATGTCTTGCCATGGGGCATACGCCATCACGCCCTAAAATGTTGTGTGTCTTGAAGAAATGTATGTGGGAGCTATCTTGGCCTGTGAGCCACACCCTAGCTAGGTAAGCAACAGGAGCCAGACTGCAAGGCCTCCAAACGTAGTTCGGATGACAATGGTGAGCCTGGTTGGTGCACACAGCTGGTCTGTGATTCAGAAACCAAGAACAGATAGAAAGAGCCTAGGCAACTAGACTGAGGAGCCTGAGGAACAATTAAGAGTTCCTGACTTCAAACAGTCAAATAGAGTTATAATCCAGCTATTCTATCCTTACGTTTATACCCAAGACAAATAAAAACATCTCTCTTAAAACTATATACCAGTGTCAGGAACCAGCAGCTAGCGTAATGGCTATGTCGCTGGACTCCCACGTAGTCGACCGTGGTTCGCATCCGGGACCCGGTGGCTTAAAACTCATGCCGGGCGCATGTGCGTGTGTGCCCAAGATCCCAAGAGGAGAATGGAGGAGAAGGGATTGCGGCGCGGCCATCCTCCCTGGGGGGTGATTTCTCACTTTCTGTCTCTCTGTCTCTATCTGTCTAGCGAGCGTACATGCCCTATAGCGAAAACCTCTCAAAAAAATTAAAAAAAAAAACTATATACCAGTGTTCACTGCAGCAATATTCATGATAACCAAAAAGTAGAGACAACTCAAATGTCCATCAACTGGTGACTAGATAGATAAAATATGGTATACTCATATAATATTACTGAACATTGATGAACAAAAATAAAATACGTTACAAATGGATAAACTTTGAAAATAAGTGATTAAACCCAAACACAAAAGGTCACATACATGTGATTCCATTTACGCAAAATGTCTAGAATAGGCAAATCCAGAGAGACAAAATGCAGATTAGTGGTTACCAGGGGCTACTGGGGTGAGAATGGGGAAAGGAGGGGATGGTGGCTAAGGGGTACAAGGTTTCTTTTGGGGTGATGACAATATTATAAAATTGATTATGGTGATGGATGCACAACAGTAAATATACTGAACTGTATGGTATGTGAGTTATATTTCAATACAGCTCCTTGAGCGGAACGTGGAACCATGAGGTACCTCTGGAAGACGCTGCTGTCTGCCATTTGCATGATGAACTGACAGAGATGGCACTGCTGGAAATGAAATCAACAAGGCAGCCTTACTGCAGTCAAAGGCCAGAGCAAATCAAGTAACAATGAAACACAAAGATATTGTTTGGTGGAAGAATAAAAATCACTTGGTAACTGGCTGGATCCATCAACAGTTGTGATCAGGGGCAGAGCCTCCAGAGCCTGGCTTCCTGGGTTTAAATACCAGCTCTGCCATCTTTCAGCCCTGTAATCTCAGGCAAGTAATGCTACCCTCCACGTGGAAGAGGAACAAACATTGCATCTCCCTTGCAGAGCTGTCAGGCACCTGTGTGTAAGTCTCAAACTCCTGACCAGAAAGAGAAATGTAGAAGGGATTAGGGTATGACCATGCCACGCTGGAGAGTGCTTTCTCTCTATGGAAAGCATACATCCTCTCCAGCAATTTTTAAACATTAAATGATTTTTTAAAATAAATTAAGAAAAATGCTATAAGTCTTAAAGAAATGTATGTGTCAACTGACCAGGGCCCTTGAGGATTAAGGAGGTAATATATATATACATAGGACTTGGAGCAGTGCCTGGCACATACAAAGTACTGATTAATAGTAGGTAGGTTTTTAAAAAATTATTTATTTTATTTACTATCATTATTATTCAATTTGAG